AAAGATTATCTATAAAAACTACTAGGAACTATAAAAGCAATAATAATAAAACATAGAAGAAGGTCTAGGGCGTAAAAAAATCTCAACAAACTCTAAATCTATGTTGAATTTGTAGTTATTCGGATAAGTGATTCGAAAAGTCTACACGTCTAGATGTTTACGCTCAATAAATGTAACACCCCACCTACTTACTTCTAGCTTTTGAAAATCAGAGTAATTTTTGAATATGTTTTCGAAAATTAATTTAAACTTTCGAAAACACTTTAACTTTCTCGGGAAATGCTATATGTCTAACTTGCTTTCCTGGAAATTGGTTTCCTTATAACTGGTTTAAGTAACTTGGCGTAAGATACTGACTTAGGACTTAAGGGTACGTTGATAACTTGCTTAACGTCATTCTTATCTCCGTTCTTATCTTTTTGTTGCTTACTTAATGGAAACCCATTTTTCTTTTCCTTTTTATTCTCACAAATACAGGGCCGTCTCCAGAAATTTGGAGGCCCCAGACATTTTTTCAAGAGAGGCCTCGTAATCGTATTTTTTTTTAACTGAACAAATACTAATGAATAATGTCAATAATAAACAAAAAAACCATAAATACGAGAAAATATAGTAAATTAAATACATAAACTTACAACCTTCTCGACTTCTTTTGTACAAAATTATTAATCAAATCACCATAATCAAGTTTTGCAACCATTTTTTTTCAACGGATAACATCGCCAAACCATTCAATCTATCCTGAGACATAGTTGATCGAAGGTAATTTTTTTTATCAACTTCAGTTGTAGGTTTTATGTACCTATCCATAGAACCAGCGAGAGATTTTGTTAATATCTCTTGTTTTTCTTTTCTTTTCCTTTTCGAACTTCCCAATTCGAACTTGCGTTTGCCCGTCATAAGTTGTCTAGCAAATCTGATCATAGAATGAGATAATAATATATGAATAAATTCATTTACAATACTAATTAAGAAAAAAATACAATCAAATACTAAAAAAAAAAACACAGATTGTTTCTTTTCTTTTCCAACAGATAAATTTATATTAACACAAAAATCAAAATAGCATAATGTTTTACAAGACTGGGAACTTCAACTGAAGT